TGCTCTCCAGGTCATCATTCGCTTTCTCAGCTCTGTAAGATGGCGATTGTACGATAAACATGTGGTGAGCATCCAAGCGTCTTAAACAAAAATTGGAATTTGAGAAAATTATAAATGCTTCTAAATATAATCTTCTGCCTTTGAAAAGTAGTGTAAATGTTATATAGTCTTGGACTCTAATGAGATGTCTGTCTTCTTGTTTAAGACATTATTTTCTTTCTTTCTTTTTTTTTTTTTTTGGTAATTGGGGTTAAGTGACTTGCCCAAGGTCACACAGCTAGTAAGTGTCAAGTGTTTGGTCTGAGGCCGGATTTGAACTCAGTTCCTCCTGACTTCAGGACTGGTGCTGTATCCACTGCGCCACCTAGCTGCCCCAAGACATTATTTTCTAAGGAGAAAAAAAAAGTTGTTGAGTGTAGATTTCTGGGAGCCTTGTCTGAGAGGTTTTCTTAGTACTTCATTGCTTGGGGGTTGGTTTTTTTGTCCGGTTGGCTTTTTGGTCAAGGTTTGTAACTTCATGGGCATCAGGCACCTTCTGGTACGGAAAATGCCTCCTCTGACCCAGTTCTTCATTAACCTGACGTCATGAGCTCGTCTTAGTCGGATTGATTGATTGAGAGAGGAAACATTTATTGGGTTGCTGTTCATTCATTTCAGTCGTGTCTGACCCTTCGTGACACATTTGGGGTTTTCTTGGCAGAGTTGCTAGAGCGGTTTGCCATTTCCTTCTCCAGCTCTTTTGACAGATGAGGAAACTGAGGCAAACCAAAGTGACTTGCCCTCATAAGGCTTTATTTATAGGGCTATTATCTAAATACCACCTATTATCATTACCTCCTCTGAGCCTCAGTGCCCCCATATGTTATCTACCCAGAAGGATTGAATGATAACAGGCCTGCCTCACAATTCTACTAAGACTTGCGAAGTGCTGTGTGTACAGTGATCTCATCTGAGCCTCACAACAACCCTTCCAGGCAAACCCTGCAAAGGTCCCCATTTTACAGATGAAGAAACTAAGGCTGGGAAGGGTGTGGTCACTTCCCCAAGGGCACACTAGTAACCCTAAGAGTCTGGGGTACTAGTCAGACCTAGAACTTCCTGATTCTCGTCCAGCTCTCAGTCTACCACGCCAGGCACCAGGAGAGCCTGGGATTTAGCCTGGTCCTCGGTTCAGGTCCTGCCTCTGACACAGTAAGTCACGTATCTTCTTATTTTCCCAGGTAACTTTCCAAGATAAGAGTTAACTTTCTTTGTGTGTCCTGGACCGCTTTGGTGGTCAGGTGGAGCCTGTGGACCCCTTCTGGGAATAATGATTATGAATGCACAAAATAGAATACACAGGATTATAAAGGAACCCGATCATACTGAAATCCATGACCCGGTACCTCTGCCTGTGCTCTGACTGCTGAGTCCCCAGCCGGGCCACCCACTCCTGAGGGGGCCTGGGCCGTGATCAGTCCACTCCCTGCTCCCCTCCGACTCTCAGCTCGTCCCCCACAGCCTGGTGGGGACCCTTCCAAGCCCCCACCCCCACTTTGCAGCTCCTCTTTACTTGTTGTCTTCCCACCATTAGGAAGTAAGCTTCTTGAAGACAGGATTGTCATTTTTCCTTCTCTTGTATCATATCCAGCACTTAACACAGTGCCTGGCAAATAGTAAGTGCTTAATAAATGCTTGGGGCAGCTAGGTGGTACATTGGCTAGAGTGCCAGGTCTGGGGTCAGGAAGACCTGAGTTCAAATCCAGCCTCAGACATTTCCTAGCTGTGCTACCCTGGTCAAGTCACTGAACTTCTATCTGCCTCTTTTTCCCCATCTGTGAAATGCAGATAATAACAACACCTGCCATTATTAAATCAGTCAGAAAACTGAACCTCCAAGAGGTTGACTTAACTTGCCCAGAGCCACTCACACCACTAATAGGGGGCCCAGGTAGAATGCCTTGGTCCTCCCCAGCCCCGTGGCCAGTGAGTAAATGATGGCGGCCAGATTCTTTGTTGGCTCCGGGTTCGACGTGCTAGTGGACATAGGAGTGAGGGGCTCTGTCCTGGCTGAGTAGCCCAGAAAGGGGACCCGTGGAGGGGAGGTGGGGGAGAGGGAGTGCTTCCTAGGGAGTTGAGTGACTTTGCATCCCTGGAGGGCTTCAGGACCCCCTCGGCCTGTTTGATCTTCATCTGCGGGGCAGCCCAGGGCCCACATAGCTGCTTGGCACGCCGCTCAGCGGGGTCTCCCAGCTGTCTGGAAGGGATGCAGAAGAATGACTGGAGTTTAGCTCTTATTGGAAGGAATTTTCCAACCTAGAAGAAGCCTGGGATCAGGGCCCGAGTCCAACCAGAGGAAAACAGATCAGAGGACAGACATGCCCTTGACTTTAGGGCTCCCGTTGTCTTTTGCTGGCTGCCTGGTGTGGGTGTGTCACAGCCCTGGACGAGGGACGTCCAGGGTTCTCCCCTTAAGCCTTCAGATTCTTTCCCTGACGTGCACGTCAGCCCATTCCCCAGACCAGACACAGGCAATTAGCCGGGATGGAGACACAGGCAGCCGGAGAGCGTGGGAGGATTGGCCAGGTGCTCTCTGAGTCATGGCTGGAGAGGCTGAGCCCCACCTCTGGGAGGGCCGCAGGGGCACTCCTCTGGCGCACAGCCAAGCAGCTGCTGCCTCGGACGTGGCTCGGTGACGTTGGGGTCCCCTGCGTGCGGCACCGCAGCTGAGATGGGAGGGGGTGCAGGGCTTCCCCAGTGGTGGCTGTGGAGGCTGACTGTGACCTTCCTTCTCTGTTCCTCAGTTTCCTCATTTGTACAGTGAGGAGTGGGCCTTGTTTAGCTCCTTCAGGGAGCCCAGCACACAGCCCTGGCTGTGACTGTTTCATTAACAGAGCTTCCTGTCATCCCTTAGCTGACCGTCTGTAGAATGGGAGCAGGAGGGAGTCTGGGGCAGGGATGTGGTCAGGGTAGGGGTCAGTCAGCTAGTCACCAAGCCCTTAGTGTATGCCAGGCACTGGGCTGAGTTCTGGGATACTGAGAAAGGCAAAGACCAGGCCCTGCCCTCAGGGAGCTCCCACTCTTACGGGGAGGGCAATAAGCAAACCCATGGATGTACAAGAGCCACATACGGTGAGCTGCAGGTCATCTCAGGGAAGGCTGGGGCACTGGGGGGAGTGAGCTTGTGCATGGAGGAGAGAGCACGTTGTTCCTGGGAGCAGGAAGACCCCAGTAGAGACCCGTACTTAGCAGCGTGACCCCGGTGAGTCACTTCACTTGTCTGCCTTGGTTTCCCCATCTGCAAAATGGGGAAAATCATGTATGCAGCCCTCATCTCCCAAGGCCAGCGTGAGTATTAAATGAGAGAATGAAGGGAAAGCATTTCACCAGGCTTAGAAATATCAGTCGTCATTAGCCATAGTCGGAGGAATTTAGTGTAGAAGTAAATGCTCTGGGGATGAGGGGAGTAGAGTAATAGACTTGGAGATAGGAAGTCTTGGATTTGAATCTCACCTTAGACTCTTGCTCTCTGTGGCAAGGCATGGCCCATCTCCGAGTTTCAGTTTTCTCATCTGTCAAATGGGCATCATAATACTTGTACTTTTTACGTTTTGAGGCTGCCGTGAGGCTCAAATGAGGTACTGTGCAATGTAGCTGGTGTGACGTGTGTGAGCCGTTTTTCCTGTCATCCTCGTTATCTCAAATTCTGGTTCAGAGAGGGGTTGGATTAGAACTAGATCACACGGAAGAAAGAGGCTCCTCTGCTCCTACGACTGCCTCTTTGACTCTGAGGTCGGGTAGCCCGCAGGGCCTCAGTTTCCTCATCTGTCAAATAAGGGGCTGGCAGATGGTCTCTCTGGCATTATGACACATACTCTCTTTCTCCTCCCCCCGTTCTCTTTTCTAATCTCTCTCTTCTCCCTCCTTCCTTCTTTCTTTTCCCCTCCCCTCTCCTCTCCTCTTCTTTCTCTTTCTCTGTCTCTCTTCTTTCTCTCTTTTCTCTCTCTCTCTGTCTCTCTTCTCTGTCTCTGAGGATCTCTTTTCCTTCTCCTCTCTTTCTCCTCTAGAAAAGAGCCAGACAGGATATAGGTGCCCACGTTGCCTTGCCCCTAGCCTCTTTGACTGGCTGTGTGTGTGTGTGGCTGGATGGCTGGCTGGCTGGCTGACTGGCTGAGCTGCATTTTCCTCTGCATCCTCTCCCTGCAGGCTGGGTTTCCTCTTGAGCTTGGGCGATTGACCGTCCAGGACTCATGCATGACTCATTGCAACGCTATCTGGGGCTGATTAAGCCTCTTGGGGCTTTTCCATTCCGACAAGATGCCTGTGCCCGGCTGTGTGATTAAATAGAGGGTGCCCACCATGGGGGAAGGAGAAAATGAAATTAGGGGCTGGCAGGCAGGAACAGCCGAGTCGGCGAGGGACTGTCTGAGATAAGCCCCCTTCCCCCCCTTGCCCGGCCCAGTGTGAGTGACAGATCTGCGGCTTTGCTGGTGCTCCCGATGACAGCCGATGCCTCCAGCCAGTGTGAGATGAATGACTTTAGGAAGCCTTCGTGGAAGGGGACGGAGGTCGGGCCACCCTCTGCAGAGTGGCTCTGGGGTCCGGGAGAAGGGATTTTGTGAATGGTGGGCTGGGCGGGGCCTGAGAGCATCAGCTCCTGATGTCAGCACAATGAATGAAATCCTTGCAGAGCGTAAGAGCGGGAGCGGGCGATCAGATTGGTCCCTGGGGCACTTAGCCCCCTGCTGACGAAGTCACCATCCCACGTGTGGTGGCTTATTTGTGTACGCTGGGATTTAAGTCCCCCGCAGAAGCCGGGCTCCATGTGCAGGGAGGCATCTCCGAGCGCTCCTCGGGCAGCCCATCCCCCTCTCCTGCAGATCCCAGGGCGGGAGGAGGCTTCCCTGGACTGTAGCCCCATCCCCTCCCCCAGCCCCATGTTCTGCTACTGCTGGCACAGCTCACGGCTGAAGCTCCAGGCGCTTGAATCTGATCTCTGCTCTGCCCTTTTCACCACCCAGGAAGAAGCTGCCCCGCTGCAGGGGGTCCAGGACCCTGCCCTGTCACCCCTCCAGAGCACCCCGGCCGATGAAGCCCACGCTGGAGGTAAGGGGCTGGGGCTGCGGGGCTGTGCTGTGTGCCCCCGGCGGCCGCTCTGTCTGATGGCTCTGGAGCCCTCTGGGGACAGAGCGTGGGTCGGGGAAAGCCCGAGTGAGGCGGGGCCGAACAGCTGGGGGATGAGAGCTGGGCATCGTCGGTGCCCGGGACCGTCCTCCCCGGCCCCAAGACTTTTCCCTGGAGAAATTAGATGTCACTGCCTGGCACGAGAATGTCATCACCATCCTTCATTTGGCCAGCCTCGCTCAGTGGTCTCTTGGTGGGGGGGTGCCGCGTCCTCAGTCCTTTGGGCCTGCCCTCCTTGGTGGCTGCACAGCTCCCACCCTTCCTGGATGTTGGGGGGTGGGATGGGGGTGGGGATTCTACCTCCTCTTTGGCTTTCTCTGTAACAGCCTGAAATTGGGTTCCTTGGCTGGGGGTGAAGGGGGCTGAGGGCTGCCCTCGGTCCTAATCCTCCTCCATCCTAATGGGCATCTCTTACCCATCTCAGGAATAGCTTCATGAAACTGGGTGGGGGAGCGAGGCCCTCCGTCTGTCAGATTCCTAGCATCTGATGGGGGTGGGGGGGGTGGCGGGGCTGCTTACGGGAGGCCAGCTCTTGCTACCGCCAAGAAGTAGGTCACTATCAGTGAGCCTGATGGGAATACCGGAGGGACGACGGGCAGCCACTCGACTCTCAGGCAGGGACCAGCTTCTCCTCCTTAAAACCCTGGTCCGTTGATAGTGGGGCCTGATCTCCTGATGGAGGATAAAATCATCAGTGTCCTCCAGCTTTTTTCATCCTTCTCTCTCTCTCTGTCTCTCTCTGTCTCTCT